TTAGGAAGACATCAAAAGTTCTGGATATTTCAAATCTGGGAGGAAGAATACCCAAAAGAATTATTATGCAACTAAAGGGATAAATCCATAACTTATTCATAATAATGAATTGCTAGTATGTTTTTTGTCAACATTTGAATATTTTCAAGATAAGTCTTTTTAATAAAATAAATTTCTGGTTTTTTGTTTTTAAAGTTTCATAGTATATATGAAGTTTATATTGTCATTCTCTCAATTTAAGCCATTTGGTTTGTGACATTTTAAGTACTGAACTTAATATTTTCATTTTTATTATTATTATGTTGTTATATAATATATATTTTTATAAATGTAAAACTATATGGATTGTGTAGAAAGTAATATGCTTAATTTCTCAACCCACATTATCCATTATCAGTCTGAAGCAATTTAAACTCATCAATAAAACAGCAGTCTTTTTACATTCCTAACCTGAATTGTAAATTCATTACCATCACATTGCAGTGGTTGGAAATGACTTTATTTTCAAATGTTTAGCAAACATCTCATCTTATGAGCTTCTGAAAATTCAGTCACATCACTTTTGTTGGAGAAGGCATGGAATATGAAGAAGTTTAGTTTTGGGAATGCTTGATCAACATAATATGCTTGTAATTGTTTTTCAGGTTTGCATATTTTTTTTCTACTTTTTGGTCTATGACCTAAACTAAATTAAACTAAACTAATTTTCTATCACTTGTACTCAATGTATCTACCTCTCTATTTCAAAGCCCACCAACTCCTGCTAAAGAAAACTATTATTTATTTTTATGTCTTTACTAACTAAGCATGGAATTGCAACCACATTCCTCTTGATACAATTGCTCTTAATGTGGCAATAGCCCATCATAGTGCACCCACAGAACAGGCCTGCTCATTAAATGACAAGATTTCAATAAATACATATTGTTAGAGAATATGAAATAAAATTGTCCACAATAATATAGAAGGTGAGAAAAGTTTACTTTTTCAAAACGTAAGGAAATGCCATAAAGTTAAAGGCAGAACAGAACACAAATTCATTTATCAAAAATCATTTCAGATACTCAGATTATTCACATTATTTAATTGCAAACGTGTAGCAAAACAGTATATACAGATCAAATGAAATATGTATAAAATATGGAATGGAGTAGCAGTTGAGGCTCTATACATAAACTACAGGTAAAAGCAAAAGTATGATTATGGATAAACAACTAACATCAAAAAACTATTTGACCATTTAAGGCTGTACCAGTCTTCATTTACAGGAGACTTATACAGCGAATTCTTATTCAGGAGTCTTATTTTTCTCTTTAAACATTATACTCTCTTGAAATAATATTACACAAATTACCATATGAATTATTTTAAGGTAGGAGTAGTTCCCAAAAGGCAGAGTAGTAAGTTCCTCCCCTGAAGCTCTTTCATTAATTTCTATCAACAGGTCAGTTTGCATTCTTAGATCCTATCACAGGTGAAAACCACTTCTCCCCAAAACAGAAATATTGAGTTTGGAAAGTAAATATATGCTAAAAATCTACATCTTGATATGAAAGGAGAATAGTTTAAAATACAATAACTTTAAGGCTATAAATTTGCGAAAAATAATTGCAACTGCAGTTTATTTAACAAAGAGAAGACAATAAGCAATGATTGCCTGAACAAAAACAAAAAGGACAATTATATCCCTGAAGAGCAAATGTAACAATAATTGTTTTAAGAAAAATCATACAATCCTTGTGCAATTTCAGATTTAACAAATTAAGACTATAGTGAATATTTAAAGATGGAACACTAGGAACTTACATCAACAGAACATTAAGTATTAGGGATGTAATATCATAATACTCCAGATATTTCCAAAAGTAAAATGTAACTACTAATAATTGGCAGCTGAAATCTAACTTTATTTAAGTTATTTATTAAATTTATCTGACTGCCTAAAACCAGTTTCATTCTAGGTACCTTACCAAATTTATTAAAAGGTACAAAAACAAAATAAAATGATTAAAGTAGTAACAAGAATATTGGATAGAAATTATAAAATTGTAAGAAGTGGCATTGCTAATACAGTTAAATCTTAAAGGTCCGCTGGAAGAACCATGTTTTAACTTGTTTTCAGAAGGCCATGAGACATGGAAGTTGCAATGCTTTTCCTTAGGATAGTAGTGACCATACTGACATTTATAAGAAGTTTGAAAAAGCATTTTTTTAAAAAGGTATGTGTTATTTATATCTAAACATCTGGAAATATTTTTAGTGTTTTAGAAACACAAAGTATAGTTATATTATTAAAGAAGTATGTCTGACCCTTCTGCTGTCTTGTGTTAAACAACTGCTGTGGTTGATTATCCAGCCAGAGTAGCAACAAATACCTTCTATATAGTCTTTTTAAAACAACTCTGTTTTAATGCCATTATATATATATAGGTGTTATTGTCTTATTTTAGGACAATCTTTCAATTCTTGATTGTTCTTATATTTCTTTTTGTACACTGTTCTGGCTCCTCTAGGAGGAAGAGCAGTATAACAGCAAGAACAACATAATGTACATAATCTTTTTATATGAATAGTATAATGATTGGCCTAAATATTGATCTTTTCATAATTTTCAGGGATTATAATGAGAATCACAAAGATTTATTTATTTTGCTTACATATAAAAGTATTTGTTAAGGACTCACAGGGGTCAAAGGAGAGGAAGAAAGAGCAAATGATAAAATGAGTATTGTGATACTGCTACCACGTCTCCTCGAATGCAAAGACTTAAGAGTGGAATTTACTTTATGACATCACAGCATGCATGTCATCATTTTGATATAATCTCAGTTTGGTGCATGCCCTCCTTCTAACTCTCACCTTCTAGCTTCTCAGTCTCAATGTACACTATTGGAATGCGGGATTTACCTAATCTCAGAATTATAGGATGTAATGCAATAGTGGTGGCGCAGCGGGTTAATGACTCTGAAAGTTGCCGGCCAGAAATGGCTGACGCTTCCGCGGTTTGTGTCCCGCCTTCGCGTTTAAAAGGGTGAGCTCCTGTTTCCTCCCCAGTTTCTGTCACCCCCACAGGTCGAAAAATCCTGAGA